TCTCTTCTAAGATGTCAGAAACATACCACTTTTTAGAGCTTCCATCAAAAATTGACAAAGCATTAAAGCAGCAGCCCGCCGCTGCTGGGCCTGACTGCTAATCGGGAGGACAGAGGACCGTTTTCAGTATCACCCCTGAAGCTCCCAGGGCAGAATCAAGAAATACCACAGGTTTGTCAGCACAGCCTGTGGCCAAGGTGGAGAATTTACATACATCTTCCAGCCGTAAAATCTGTTCATTTCTTCTACAAAAGCCATTGTTACAGAACTAAAGTCTTTTTCTTTCCCCCCCTGCCACCAGTGAATAGATTGTTACACTTGAAAAAGTTTGCAGTTTTGCATAAAAGCATCCCAGCTGAAATGTATTTCCATAGCTGAGTACTGTGTGGAGCAGGAAGGTTTGGAGAGGGTCTTCCAGGTCTTTTTCCGAAGTGCGCATCTTGCCATTGAAAACACTCTCTGACTTCATCGCTGCTTCGCAACTCTGTCATCCGCCGCCACGTGTAGGTGTCGGAGGGCGGCTGGCGCCTGCTGCAGACTCGCTCTCCATCTCCCCTCGCTCCGCAGTTCCTCCTGCCGTTAGCAGTTCGTTAGGAGATGGGACTCCTTCTCATGCAGGCGGGGGTGAGGAAGAGCCCAGGATGACCCCCAGTGCTTGGGGGATTTGGTATATCAAGGCCTATTAGTTCCAAAGCAACTCTTTGTAAGTGAGCCACAGCTTGGTGCGGCCCTTGTGCCATCGATGGATTAGCCACAGGGCTACACGTTTGGCCCAGTGACTGGGAAACAAGCTGAGCCTGCCCACAGCTCTCCAGCATGGCCCCTCTGGAGCCAGCAATGCCCAGGCCTGTCCAACGCCCGCCGATAACCATGCCGATGGCCCTCCTGCGATGGGATGCAGAGCCCAGGAGCCGAAGCAGAATAGCTGCCTGAAGACAGGCAGCATGTTTTCTCCACCCAGAAATGTTTGATTAGGTGAATACGCTTCAGCGAGTTAAGCAACTTAAATCATCCCAAATGTGTGTAAGTTCTACCGTACTTGTTTTGTTAGTGGCTCATAAGGAGAGAGCACTGATATGTTAAATGTTTCCTAAGCCAAAAAAGAAGAAGAAAAATCCGTTTGCTGCAGCCTGAATACCTTTGATTTATGAATCTCTGATTCATCCTGACAGCTACTTAAAAATTCATGTCAAACTCTGCATTAATCTTGGCCAGAAAAAGAAAAGAAATGTGTTAGGTAACAAGAGTGGCACAAAATGCAGTTGCCGTTGTGGGTGTGTTTAAGGAAAGGCATCGTTAGCATTTAACTCACCAGAGACGCATCAGTACATATTAGCAGATACTTTCTCTTTTTTGAAGTCTGTTGAACAAATGTGTACTTGGGCATAGAAATGCATATCTAACGTTGATGTCTCATTACATTATTTCCCTTCTTTAGTGTGTATAGTTTTCATGTATGTCGGAGCTTCTCGTGCGTCATTAGATACTGAAACAGAGATAATACGAACATTTTGTTGTATAAGAGAGGAAAGGGAAATAAATTACTTTCTCTTTCTTTCTTTTTTTATGTTCTTCCCAATATTGAGCATATTTGAGATTAAAAACTTAGCTTAATGACTTGATTGATCAAATAGCATTCTCTATAGTGTCTTGGAGAAATTGTCATAAACTCAATAAAATGTTTAAAAAAAAATCCTGATTATTATTTATTGCTGATTTGGTTATTTTTTTCCAAGAATGCTGCATTACAAATGGTGACGTTTTCCAAGAAAATAACCAGATAGCCTGAAATTTGACTATATTAAGGGTTTGAATAAATAAAAGCAGCTGCTTTCCTCTTGCAATAGCTGTGTCTTCCACTTTGCATTTCTAAATGCAGTTTTACTTAGCATATAACCATGGCAATTTACTTAATATCTTGTGTTTTTTAAAGTATCTTAAAAGGCCCCAGGCCCAAGGTGGCAGTAGACCATCCTGGCAGAGAAATGTAAGGAGGAGAGAGCAGAGAAGGGAGGTGTGTGGCTGCGCTCCTATTCAAAACCGGTTATGTTTCCACCGTGAATTGAAGCCAGAAAGCTGCACTGTAGCTTAATCAGAAAGGGCAGGTGATGAAGAACAGGAATGAGGTTAAATTTTTGCAGGAGATCACAATTTTTTTCTCCCTCTTTTTCATTACTTTACTATTAAAGAAAGATAGGACATTACTGTGGGGTGCTTGTTTTATTATTACAAAAATATTAATTTAATAATTGAACAGTTGAATGTGATTCTTTGTTTGCAACATGTCATATCTGGCCTGTGCCCATTATTTACAGTTCTCCAGAAATATACTAAGCTATATTCAGTTGAATTAAACATAATTAAACATGTTGTTAAAGTTTTTAACGAAATTTAAGATTCAAGATAATTAAACAGTTAAGATACGACCTATATTTTCTACTGAAAACGTTTTTGTCTTATCTCCCATTTTTATAGGCTTTCAGGTAACATCATTCGTACAATGTCCCAGATTGTACTGAAGATGATGTTAGAGGTCCATACTGGACAAGTGAGTGGGTCAGAATGGTGGCTTTTGAAAGGAGTTGATGAAATTCATTTCAGTATTTTTGGCTGTGGGATTTTTTACTATGGGTTCTTTTTGGCTATGTGTGAGGTGGTTGCTTTGGTTTTCTCGTAGAGTGATTTTAATGTTTTTATTTTCTTTAAAGAAAGGGAAGAGAACAAAGGAAGGCATGTGGACAGCTAAGCACTGCTCCAGACAATTTGTCTTATTGACTGCAGGAAAATTACTGGCATGGCACCAGTGCCCTTCTCAGCCACTTTGAGACTTGGCAAATTCTCCCTAGGCTGTTAGGGTAATGTTTGCCATTAGCCTTTTGTAATAAACAGATATCAGAAGAGTTGCAAAGGTAGATTTATCCTGGCTGCTGAAGGTGGGCTCTTACTAGACAAATAAAGGGAAATAGCTGAAAATGATTAATGCTTTATGGAAGAGTATCAGCAGAAAGGTTAAGTTTCCTATCATGAATATCTAAAACTTTTGACTCGGCCAAACTATTGATTTCCCCCTATTCATTGACTGGCCTGTTCATAATCAGGAAAGTGTTGTAATGGAAGGTCTCACACGAGGAAGAGTGGTGCAGTTTGTACTTCTGCTCCAAGACTTGAAAGAGGAGGGTTCAGGTCCCAGCTTTGCAGCAGATTTTGTGTGTGAGTAGCAACAGTCTGTCACAGCTATTTCAGTACCTCCAATTGATCCAGGCACCCAGCAGAATTTGGTAAAGTTTCCACCACGGTCAGTGTTTTACATTGAATGCCACCCACCTGTCTGCTTTAGTATATCCGAGATCCTGCTAGACACCTCCTGGTCTTTAGCATCTAAATACCTTTGAAAACCTGGTTTATACTTCCCAGGGGTTTTCGGTAGAGAAATGTCTGTGCTGGACCGTGAGGACCAGGGCACAGTGCTGCAGAGGTGAAGCTCAGGTCGGATATCAGCTTGGAGGGGGATGCTGTTGGAAACGCAAGTCACCCTCTCACATCTCCATTCACAGCCGAGGGATCCCTTCCCACCTCCACGCATGTCCTGAGGCAGGCAGCGCTTTGTCCTCCTGCCACAGTCAAAATACAGGTAGCCGTGGGGTTAACACCATGCTGGCTGATTTCCTGGGATTTCAGCTGAAATTCTGAAACCCCACCTTCAGACACCCCCAGTTTGTACCTTTCTTTCTGAATGTCAGTTTGTGATCATTTCATATGCTGTTTTTTCTAGCACGTTTCTACATTAAAATACATGCTTTTTGTCCTTAGCTGCTTAGTACAATTCAGGATTTGACTATTGCAAAACATAGCTTACGTGTAAAATTTGTCTACATACTTGCTTTGTGAAGTGGAAGAACAGAATATCCCTAATATTAAACCATAAAGCAGTGATAGTTTATTTATAAAGCCAGAAAAGGCATTTAACAAGCTGCCCAATCCCAGATAATTTCAGACGATATTTGTCATGTACATAGGGGACATAAAATTATGAAAGGAAAATAATTTCAGCAGCGTGTGATGCAAGTAAAATGAAACAGCACTGTACAGAAAGGAAAGCTGGTGCGGAGTCGAGGCTTGATAGATCGGTGGAGGGCCTGTTTCACAGGGTCGTGACTTCAGAAAGATTGACAGGACTGTAGGAAGTCCCTGCCCCATCCCATTAGTGGACACCCCTTTGCTGCCTCGGCTGTGCTGACTCGCGTCCTTGTGGGGCCACGCTGCAAACTGTGTTGGGGGCTGATCCGGGCTGCAGTAGCATTTTCTTGTGGAATAAAACAGTGCTCTTTACTTCAAACTTGCATCAGTTAGCAAGTCCAGCTCCCAGCACGGGCTCCCAAACGTCTGCATGGGCTCGGGCTGTGGGGAGCCTCCGACAGCGTGGGGCAGCGGGTGAGCTGGGAACGTGTCGAGCTGCCCTTGTCCCTGCAGGCTTCTCCTGTTGCCAGCCCTGGGCGAGGGCAGTGATGCTTTGGCACCTTTGGGCTATGAAACCATGTGGGGATCTGTGATTGAAAGTATTTCTGATCTGAATACGGAGTTTGGAGGGGCTTCTCTGACAGCCTCGTGACCCTGCAGAATGGGCCATGCTAAATGTATATGGAGTGTTGGATGGAAGGATGCTGGCTGCAGCATGTCTCCCTTCTGCAGTGCTTACAGCAATATCATCTAGACAAGCCTCAGTAGCACTGGGAATCCGTGTTTATGTCAACTCATGAAACAGATTTTATGTATCTCGCCGAGATTAGTTTATAGAAACACACTGTGTAACTAGTTCCAGTTGAAACCTTCACCAGATCCATCTGACTTACCTCTTGGTAAAAACCAGCAGGAGAACAGGGAGCTCTTTTGTTACTGTTTTGCCTTTTTTTTTTTGGCCTTGCCACATCCTTTTGTCATTTTATTACATGGCAATCACTTGTTTTACTTAAGGTTTCTTTTCTCTCTCTCCTGTCTGATAGGCCTAGAAGATGTTGTAGCAATAATGATTCCTGAACCCAAAGGAAAAGAGATAGTGAGCCTCCTGGAGAGGAACATTACTGTGATGATGTACATAACCATCGGGACACGCAACTTGCAGAAGTACGTCAGCCGGACCTCTGTGGTGTTCGTCTCCATCTCCTTCATTGTGCTGATGATCATCTCGCTGGCATGGCTGGTCTTCTATTACATCCAGCGATTCCGCTACGCAAATGCCAGAGACAGAAATCAGGTGAGCAGTGCTGGCATGGCTGTTTGTGTTTCCAAAAAATCACCATGGGATTCAGCTTGAAAGTAAAATTTGAGGAAATTGTGAATGTGTGGTAAAAAAAAAACCCACAAACAAACAAAACCAAAAACAAACCCAAGGAAGTGGAAAGAATGGGGATATAAAAATACCTGTGTTTGGGAAAAACCAAGACTTGTGTCAATATAGATGGGATTCAGGAAAAAAAAAAATTAATAAATATAGTGTATATATATTATGGGGTTTTTCCACCGTGCAAAACACAAAAAATAGAAAGTTGATAATGTTTATTAATTAAAAGATTGCCTTGGTACATATAGCCAAGTGACACTGAAATGTATATACTAACAACCCTTGAGATCAAAATGATGACTAAAATATAGTGGGGTATGTGAACATCTGTGTGTGAAATGAGGGTTCACAGTAAGTGAAGAAAGAAAAAAAGAACAGAAGGTGTTTTCATGTTAATACTTCTTTAGAAGGGTCTTGGGCTTGAAAGGCAAACATGGCTCTGTTCATTTGTCAATGATCACTGAACATAGAAGTGCTGTAATGATAGCCACCAATATTATTAAACCATTGCTTTTGGTTTTGGCATCTTGTCCAAACCCCCTGAAAGAGATACAAAACCTATAGAGCTGGAGAGAAGTCAACAGCAGTGGGAATGAGCCCTAGGTCCCGAGGCCCTCTGGATTTATAAAGCACTGTGCATCTTTATGGTAGTTCAGCAATGAATAATAATAGCAATGATAATAATAAATTTAATCTTTTCTTGTCTGGATGCAACTATCTTGGCATCAGCAGAACTGTGAGGCTGAGGCTTCTACATTTCATTCTAATGGTACGGTAGAAAATGTTATCAATGTATGAAATCTGAGGAGATAACCATTTTACTGCAGGGAAAAAAATGCACTGTAATTCAGAGATGTTTCTGGACCCTTAATAAATTACTGTTGGGGCAGGGGGAGGGTTGCCTTGCTTGCTCTGCAGAAAAAACTGAGAGTGTTAATAATCATCTTGTAGAGAAAAGTACTGCCACACACTTTGTAACGTATACTTAACGTATGGGGATCCCTCACCCATTGAAATTCAGGCATCCTCTGAGATAGAGAGCAGCTGCTCTGTATTTACAGACAGAAGGAATATATTTTCCTTTTAAATATACAGTATGAAATTTTGGATAGCAAGAATGAGACTATCCCAGCTGGAATTTGAACATCACTGGCAGCAGATTCGCTGTGACTGTAACGGCTGTGATAATTTTTAGATGCTTTGGCTGCAAAAGCACATGTGTGCCTAATTTATGTATGTGAGTACCGTAAGCATGCTTTCAATCAAGTAATTATACAGGCAGATTAGCAGTGTAAATAGACATACGTAAACATGAAAGCCAGCAACATAAGAAGCTCATTCAGGTAATATGCTATAGTTTGGAACTGATAGGTTTATATATTCAAGCAGACTTCCTTTTCAGTATTTTCTTTCCAAAATTTGAACAAGACTAACATGTGCCCAACCAGTTGTCCTGTGCAGAGGTTTTAATAACTTCGTTATTATACTAGTTCTGTTCTTCAGAAGAATAAGAAATCATGCCTCCTAAGCAATTATTTATTACTAATTTTTTGCCAAAGCTGTAGTAATGATATGGGGCAAACTAGAATTTCTTCATGTACTTTCTTCGTTCAGTTTTGCCTGACATCTCCTCTAATCTCTTTATTAGCTCTTTTCATATCAAAAATGGTAGTGATATACAGACAAAGCTTGACCATTTGTGTTAATGAGTTGCCGTGGTTTGGTTTTTTTCTCTTTTAGTCCTAGCTATGGAATATAATGATGTAGGTAGTTCAGAAGAGCTCAGCTTGCTCTTGCCCTTTCCGTGAGGGTTCCTCTCTGTTTCCCCTAAAGTTCTGCTTGTTGGTTGGTTGTTTTTCTTTGGCACATTTTCTTGTAGCACAAGGATGGGATCACAAAGTTCTATGTTAGTGTCTTGGATATTCAGATATATGCAAGAAAAATTGTTTGTGTTGCTTTGCTGGAGCAAGATTCTTTTGTCATTGCTCTCAAAAGGTTTTGCCATTATAACTTGCATGTCCGTTTTTATGAAGGTATTGTGCTTAACTTGTTGGAAAGCCTTGCATGTGTTGTAAGCACCTTCATTGCTGGCCAACTTTAGGAGAGATGCTTCCTTCTATTTGTATTTGATGTACTCAAGCTAAAGTTTATCCAAAGGTTGAAATGTTTGGATAAAGAGCACATCAGATGAAGGGGGAGCCAGCTGGCCTATTCAGAGAAGGTTGTGCTATCGGTTCCTACCCTGCAATGCGATAAAATCTCACTGTGCAGACTGACTGCCCTGTTCTGAAAGTGTGAAAAACTGTGACTCATTTATTAGACTTCAGTTAAAATAAAAAAAAAAATTAAAAAGCTTAAAGTCATTTTGACATCTGAATGATTTAAAATCCCACAGTTTTAGAAAACATAGGCCCTCAGAAGCCCTTGTTTTGTGTCAAACAAGAACCTGTGCCTACCTCTCTCATGCATGCCCTTCCTAGGTTTGGCTGATGCTGGAGTTGCTACGAGGAGCAGTTCAGCCTCCTCTGGACTGGTAGTCTGGGCACTGTGCTGAGGGAATGGGACAATGTGGCTGACTGCAAAATATGATTGGCAGAAAAAGCCATTATCTCCAAGCAGGAGGGGTGTTTTGCACTGTTACATGAAAGCCAGATTTCTGAACATCTTTCCTTGGTCACTCCAAGTCTCCCTAAGTCATCTTCCATTTTGCCTCTTCCAAGCTGACCCATTGCAACTATGTCTTTCTTTTGTGAAAAACATGGTGTATCCTTTTGCCAAGCCTCATAACCACCTTTGCCTCCTTGTCCTCTTTTATATGGTGACCCTCCTTTCTAGGTCCACTTCCCTTCATGCACACAGCATAAGTTGCTGATCAAGCGGTAAGCCCAAAAGGAACTGATTTAATTATCCATCAAGAAAGCAACGAGTCCAGCTAGTGAGAGAGGCAGCTAGAAAGACTGAAGAATCTCCTGGAACCATTTTCTGTAGCTCCCCAGTGAGGTGAAACCTGGACATACAGCATGTACATCTTCAGCCACCACTCCTCCTCACCATGTGTGCAAAATCCAGGTTCATGTGCCAGAAGGAAGACACAGCTCGCTCCAGTTAGGTGCCTGATTTTGATGAGCGGAGAATCAGGACTTCAAGGATTCTCACTGAATGCCCTTGCCTGTTCATCCCAACTTGGCTGGGAATTAATGCAGTGGAGCGCAAAACTCTCTTCCATTATGGACTTGTGCACCTGCAGCCAGGGTGTCAGCTACAAATATGGTTAAAGTTTTGATTTTAATACATCTAATTTTTAAGAGTATCTCTAGCACAGACAACTGTACGGTACATGTGGAAGAAGCAGCTAGGTAGTAATATTCACATTGATGAAAGTCCAAGGCCTCCTCTTTTTTTTTTTTTTTGCCACCTAACAAGATGTCCAGGAAGTAGGTGGTTGCCCTGATGATACGCCCTTTTGATATGAAGAGAATAAATTTGTGTAAGGAAAGCATAGGCAATCTGCTTCCTCAGCGTTTTGTTCCTGGAGCCCTCCTGAAGATGAGAGAGTTTCTCTGTGAAAGACTGTGGGAATTGTTTGCATCAAGAGACATCAGGTTGCAGAGTTAATTGAAAGCAGTTTGGAATTACATGACAAGTTAAGTCCTGGAGATAATTCAGCAAAATGTGACTTGCTGTTTTAGCCCTGTAACAGCCAGGACACAGGCTTAAAAAAAAAACAAAAACTCCCCAACCCTGTCAGTGTGTCATATTTCATATTTCACCAGTAATAGTGGAGTTCTCTTTTTGTCATCTGTGAGGCATGAGATGGGAAGATGGCAAGGGGATGATATTTAAGTGCCAGACCTGTTGACCATATTTTCTCCATGTCGTTTCTTCCCATTGGTTTCTTGTTAAGAAGTTGTTTTCTGTAAAGTCATTTTGAAACCAGTGGGCTCCGTGAGTTTTGCAGGACAGTGAAAGCCAAAGCAGGCAGTGATTGCACTGGGGCTGAAGAGGGTCATGTGCATCCTGGGTTAATCTCCAGTGAAGGATCTACTTTAGTATGTGACTGGCAGCATGTGGAGGGTCAAGCAATTGTCTGAGAAGGAAGACTGCTGGCCGTGGCTTTGAATGAGAGTTTGGGGCCATTGAATAGAGACATCAATCTTTGAAGCAGTCTTGGGAAGATGCTTTCCATGATGGAGTCCGCAAACTTTATCTGTGGTACAGGAGATGTGTCTGATACCTCGTCCTGGTGGTGCGCTTCATTCTGCACAAGGTGATCTCCCTGCAAAGGTGATAGTTTAGTAAGGCCATTAAGAGAGAAGCACTTACCGTAACTTCTCTGCCACAGCATCTACTGTCATTTACTTCCTCAGGAACAGACAAGTGATGCTTTCCATGCTACTGTCGTTTCTTTTGAACTAGTATCACCATCTCCCCAAGACCACTGCATCTGATATGCTTAACTCCTTCCAGTCCAGTACTGAATGTTGCAGCCTTGCTAATGAGATTATGAGATTTATGATTGTAAACCTCTAAGCCTCACTTTAAACCCTTAAACTATTGTAATGCCTCTTATCTTTTAGGGGAAATCATTGGTTAGTGATAGCATGCCTTTCGTGCAAATGGAAGAATCCTTTGAAAGTATGTCTTTACTCCAAGGTATTCCTGTTCTTTCAAAAACTAAATTATTCTCATTTGCATGTAAGTCAGGAACTTGTCTATTTAAGCTAGATAAGAGAAAGCAAACATGAAAACAAGCAGATCAAAGATGTACATGAGTCTTTAATCTTGTCCTTTCCCCTTGAAGAACGTGCAAAAAAGAACTGAGATTTCATTAGTTTAAGTAAAAATAATGATAAAAAGAAATCACAAGCAATTCCTGAAGCAGGACATAATGGCTCTTGTCTTGCTGTATGTTATCAGTCTGTCTTTGATTTACATTAATTAAACAAATAGCTGGCAAGAAATGTTTCCAACTCTCGTCTGATCCCTTTATTTAAGGGAGACTGTGAGAAAAATGTACCACAGAAAAGATGTTGTATAACTACAAGATACTCCCTCACGTGTAATAATTAGTTATGCTGGAAAGCTCATATGTAAATCTCATATGATAGCCAAGATCGTTTTCACCTCTTTAGCGAGATCTGAAATTGCTCTCTGCTTTCAGTATTGCATGCATTTTGTCAGTCTTCCATGTCTTTCCAATCCAATAAGCTTACTCTCTAAATTTAATTCAGTGATTTTAATTGAATCTGAAGAACAAAATGGTAATTTATAAATTGTATCTGTATGGTGATTAGGTCTCAATTTACAAACTACATCCAGCTTCCTTCCATTTTTGGCTTCATGCTCTCGCCCCGTCCAGCTGGAAACCCCTCCCGCTGACAGGCCCCTCTGAACTCCGGCACGGGCAATGTTCCCAGCCCGAAAAGTTGAATGTCTTCTGAGTCACCAAAGCTCCCAAGTCTCCCTCCTATCTAACAGCACATGGCTGGAAACATGGATAGGGAGGGGAAGTGAAGAGAAGAGTTTGTCATTTATTGGTGGTATATTGGGATGCACTGTATCATGAACTGTTATAAAACTGACAAGAAGACATCAGAGTAGGTGTTGCTGCGTGAAACTGTACAAGAAAGGCATGAAAAAACTGGCGAGAGCCCAGAGGAGGGTCACCAGTATGGTCTGGGGACAGGAGCACACGACATCTGAGGAGGGGCGGAGGAAGCTCGGCTTGCTAAGCCGGGAGGAGAGGAGAGGAGGAGGAAGGGCTCTGCTTGCTCCCTTCAGCTGCATAACGGGGTGGTTTGAGAGGAGGCAGAGTCAGACTCTTCTCAGAGGTGCACAGAGAAAGGACAAGGGTAACGGTCACAAATTACAACAAGGGAAATTCCATTTGTATGTTAAAAAAAAAAAAAGACTGTGAGAGTAGTTAAGCACTGGAACAAATTATCCCCAGAGGTTGTGAAATCTCCCTTCCTGGAGATATTCAAAACTTGACTGGACACAGCTCTGACTTTGAAGTTGACCCAGGCTTGAGCTGGGGGTGGGATTACATGACCTCTCAAAGACCTTTCCAGCCTGTGAGTCTGTCTCCAGATCGCCTCGTCGTTGGGTTAGCACAAGTGAGCAGCCAGGTCCTTGGAGCACTGATACAGGCTCAATAGCACAGGGTGCAGAGGTAGCTCTGCTGAGTAGTGATTGTATGAACTGCCCCATAATGTTCTCAGCCTCTTGCAAGAGGCAGGCATCTCCATCTTCAGCGTTTGAGAACAGGGTGTTTTGCGTCAGGCTGTCATTACATACTTAATCCTGAGTGGCTGTGACCCTGCCAGCACAGTAACAGTGTTTTGGAAATATGGAAGAACAGTCAGAAACATCACGTGGTAAGCAATTAATGGTCCACTGGAGGGAAAGATAGAAAGGCAAAGAACAAGCAAATGGTTATGCATGGATAGGATGTTACTGCAGGACTATATAGTGCTTTACCTGTAAGAAACTGCAGATGATTTCCCTTCATTTTTATGCCTTGCATTGTTCCTATAAAGTAGGCAACTCTGTATTGCAGGAAGAGAGAACAGCAGAGAAGATTATTCATGTTTTTCATGGTTAACAAATTAACAGCTCACTTTCAGCACTTACATCTTGCTGAAGATCATGAACTAGTTCTGGAACAACGTAAGGATAAAGACCTTCTGAATTTTAAGTCCAGTGTTCACTCTGCTTGCTAGCTCAGGCCTCATTTAATAATGTCTTTTTTACAAGTGTCATTAAAAAAAGAGGGAAGAAGTACGATACCCAACTAGTGGACTTGTTACATACATTGCTACTCACTGCAATAGTAAAGGTGCTGGAGGGAGGAGGAGGAGGAGCCCATCATGATGGGCTCACATGCAGTCTCCACTGGAACTCCATTAGGGTAGCTTTGCCTCATCAGCCATGGGTTACCAGCGAGCCTAGAATACCTACTGTGCCCTTATTGTGAATAACAGCATGACTGACCTCGTCTGTTTATACAGCACTGTCCTGTCTCATGTACAGTCACTTCAGATTATTAAGAAGCCTAGGGAGAAAAGGTGATGATTTCTGCATGAAGAGATACTCTTTGCTTAAGAGCAAATTTTGTATTACAGCGCCGGCTTGGAGATGCTGCAAAGAAAGCAATCAGCAAGCTGCAAGTCAGAACAATCAGGAAAGGTGATAAGGTAATTTTTCAAATTGCTCATTACCAAATGAAACTCTGTACTGAGGATTCCTTCAGACCACTGGGACAATGAGGCAGAACAGAAATGGCAATTGCTTATTTATCTACTATGTGTCCTTCAGGCGGGGGAGGAATACTGGTAAGCAGTTTACAGATGGAATGGAGTAGAGAGAGAAGAAGGTGATTCTGTGAAGATGCAGAAAATCCTGAAAGTTAAAACATACTAACTAAATCTGCATGCTTCTGAGGGCAAGTTTCCAACTGGAAACGTGTTGGAAAATCTGACTTGCTTGTCTTGAAATGCGTTACTGGATTTGCAGCATGCATTAATGACCGTTTTACTTCGTCACATAGGCTCTTGTCTGAAGAGATTAGCTGACAAAATAAAAAAATGAAAATGATGAATGTTCTCTTTCCTGTAGGAAACTGAGCCAGACTTTGATAACTGTGCTGTTTGTATTGAAGGCTACAAGCCCAATGATGTTGTCAGAATTTTGCCTTGCAGGTAAGTTGAAGGTGCTCTTAGCTCTGATAGTCTCTCTACTTCAAGATAGGCTCTGTTCTCACAGTATCACACTGATGAGGTGACCTGAGAGCTCGGGGAGGGAGGGGTAAGTTTATAATTTTGATTTATTCAAAATCTGTTCTATAAAGATATCTGAAATGCCTCTTTATTTGACTTGAAGTGAAAGTAGTATTGATGGTGGTGAGAACCTGAGTTTAGCATGATAGTCAGAAATTTTGTCTGATCTGGACCTATTACAAAGTCTTCAGTAGGGTTTTTAAACTAAAGGTTTTGATTCCTCTATTTTGCTCACTGGTTTTATATCAGTCCTGAATAACTCCCTTAGAATAATTTGCCCCTGACTTCAAGGTGTGCCGTGGGCATAGCAGCCAGGGATAGAGCAGGCTCCTGCTCCCCATGGAGCCACTTCTTTTGCTGTCCTGGGCCATGTCCAGGCACTGAGAAAGGGATGATTTCTATCAAAAAATACCCCAGCCATGAAAAGAGATATGCTGCGTAGAAACAGTAAAGCAAAAAGGGACCATGACAAAGACCACATTATCCATTGCTGCCATGAAAATATTCTCAGGCATGTGGGACATGGAGGTGACAAGAAGAGCTTTTGGGTTTGTTCTTTCTCTTTTCTTCCCCTCATGTGAACATGCCCCGTGCAGCACATACACTTGCAGTGATGTGACACAGGAGCCCAGCCTCTTGCCACCCGTAACAGCTGTATTCATCTCTCTGTGCCATTGTATTGTCATCTGTGAAGTGTTAGCTAATGCAGGATTTCTCTAAGGAAATCAATTTCTTAGGAAATTTCCTAGGAACAGTGGTTCCCCTAGGAGAGCAAGAGCAAGTGTTTGATTTCCCTGGAAATAGGAATCTCAAGTGCTGTACATACAGAGCATATTTTTTTTTTTAGTAGAGTTTCTTTCTTCTTCTGCAGACATGTTCACTGGCCTGAAAAACTGAAATATTTGTTTCTTTTCCTGCTATGTTGTTCCCTCGTAGATATTTGAATGTTACAAGCTGTCCATTTCTGTTCGTTCATGTGATTCATTAGATCTGTTTACTGCCATCATTAAATGGCAAACAAAAAGCAACAGATTAATCATAAATTTGACCTACTGTAAATCCCCCACAATGACAAATTGCATGTGAACTCTTTTTTTTCTATGAGCAGACACAAACGCATCACTTCATGAAGCAGAAATAAAGAAAAATGAGAAATTACCAGAAAATGTGGACCTTGGTTTGACATCAAGCCTGTTTTCATAGAAGCATAATAAAGCTTGGAAATTTTGCACAATAGAGACAGGCAGTTTTTGGAGGTAGTTACACAACAGCAAAAAACATGTCTAAGCTGTAGCTTTCACTTGTGTCTTGCCTCATAATTCAATGAGGCTTCAGTCAGACTTTGTCATCCACAGTGTTGAGTCAAGCAGAGTGAATAGGAAACACATAGTTAACAGGTGATGTTCAGTTCTTGGCTGACTTAAAAGGTCGCCTAGAAAATGACTCATGCTGAAAGGTTAGCAGCAGCAGAACTGTCTTGCAAAATACTCACAGTTTGAGCTTCAGCAGTTTTGAATTATAAAAGCTCAAAGATCTTTCTCAAGCAGCTACTTGACAAACCCTGGCTTTCCCGCTACACAAATTGTGAGGGCAGTATTTTACACATTCACATGGGTTTGGACTTCCAAAACAGGAAATGGTAGTCATGATTCTTTCTGCTGTTGCCAGTCTCGTTGCCTCATCCAAGAAGAGAGAAAAAAAAAAAAAAAGTGGATTAATTTCTGTCTCTGTTAAGTGAGTAGGAGAGTGTTGTATCTTGATAAAGACCTACAGACTCCGTAGGTTTCTTCCTCCAACATCCTCAGTTAAACTGTGTGCAGTTTCTAGTATGGGAACCTCATTAGACTGCTGTTTAATAAGAGGCTGGCATTTCACCAAGCCTTACAGAAGCTAGCACCACATGACACCATGCTGGCTGACCTTAGTGTTTCTATCCAGGAGGTGCTCAAGATGTAGAACTTTTTACCTGCAAAGCCAAATACACCCCAAGAGCTGCACATGAAAGATGCTGCTTTGTACTGCAGGCACTACTGGGAAAACCACTGCTCGCAGGCACGCTCCGTATAAAGCCCTGTATATCTTGAGATTTCTTTTTAAGGCTGGTGGAGCCTGAATCTCCTAAGAAACTGGTACCAAAAGTCCACCAGCCAATATTGCAGTGGATGAGCTCTGAAGTCGTATACATACATGTTTACTAGTACTTAGGCTGTTTCCCCAAATGTCCTCTCTTTTCTGTTGGCAGAGAGCAGGCACTGGGATAGCCTGTTGTTACATATCCTACTCTGGAGAGCTAGGAGGAGGATTCCAGTTAACTTGTGCTTCTTCCTCTCTGTCTGTCCTCTTTAGCCAGCTCCCACACCTGACTGTATTAATAAACTTCACTCTACAGAATGTATTAAATAAATAAGGACTGACACTTGATAAAAAAAAGTGTTGGCTTGCAGCTGGTTTTATGTTTAATGGTAGCAAGTGTCACTGAAGTTATCTTTGAGGGCATTGACACAACATCAAATGTAACCAAGTTCATTGTTCCCAGAGTGACATCTCTTGTCATAGCCCTAGTTCCTTCTGCTTGTCCTCCATCTCTAGCTTCAAAACGCCTTCGTCTTTTCTGCTCTGGCTTTGGAGAAGTTACTGATGCTGCTGTTCCCAGTGTGTGCCTTTTACTAAACTTTTACTAACTTTACTAAACTTCTACAGAGAGGCAAGACAATTCTTTCAACTTCATCTCTACTGAGTTCTTCATAAGCTCTTTTTTTGGTTGTTTCATTTCTGTCACCAGTAAATTCGCTTTCTGACCCCATTCCAGATCATTCCCTTGCCCTGAACCTTCACTCCATGAACAACTGTGATTTCAGAGACTGCTTCACTCTTCCTCTCTCTTTTTTTTTTTTTAGCTTCCCATGAAAATTATTTCATCACACACATTCTTCCCTTTGATTCCTTCCTCTCACTTACCCTCATCATCATCATCTTTTGTCCTTCCTTCTTCCTCAAAACTAAACAAATAATACCGTACATGCACCCCCAAAAGCCCAAACCTTCTCATTGGCTACTACAGTGCTGCTTAGTCTCTCACCAAAACCCTTCTCAATCCTCTGCTTCAGCCCTGTGTCTAATCCAGGGAGCTAATGCTCTTACTCAGGGTCCCTAGGGATGTACCCCTCTCTCTGCTTTTCCCTCCTTTTCTCTTAGCTCACGCTTTTCTTCTGAGAAAAATTACATGACTGCTAGGTTTGTTTGTGTGCAGTTCGGAAAGTTGGGACTAGGAGTAGAAGGTGGGTGGAGAACAGTTTCCCTTAACCTGGGAAAAAAGCTTCTCAAAATTGTTGGCAAGCTGAAAGCTTTACAATAGCTTTACAACAATCAAATTATAATAATAATTTTGGGCTGAGCCCGAAATGAAATTTTTTTTCTTTTATGATTATATTGCAGCTTTAAAGAAAATTTAAATACATTTCAAACAAAAGTAATCTCCAGTTAAAAAATATGAAGCGCTATTTAGATAATAGTGAATGAAATGCTCTGGGATTTTTAAGTTCTTTTTCTTTCTTTGTGCTCTGTGAGCTTTACACAGCCGCGTGCAGTTGCAGAGACGCAGAAGAGTGCAGGAGGGATCCCGGGAGGCCACCACCTCCGGAACGGCACAGGGGCGCTGGCCGTGCACGTGTCATTCTTGGGACTTTTTTCCAACACGCTCTGCAGTCTCCTAGGATGAAGACTGTGCAAATTCCCCTGATAATTTATTGCAGTGCTTCGCTACCCTGACTGTGGTGAAGCTTTTCCTATTGTGTAACCTGGATCTCACTTGCCGCAGTTTAAACACATCATTGTGTCTCTTACCCCTAGGAGAGGTGAAGAACAGTTTTTTCCTTTCTCCTTATGGAAGCCTTTGTTTTGTATGAGGTTTCTTACGACATGTCCTCTCCTCTTGCCTTCCTCTCTCTCAACTAATCAATTACAGTTCTTTTGAGAAACTTTTCAACCTATTCAAATCAACATAGTTTTGCAATGCATGTGGTTGCACACAACAGAAAAAAAAACCCATATTTTTTTCTAGCTCTGACTTTGATTGTCAAAGCCACGTCCCGAGCCCGTGCTTCAAAAATCTCTCTTACTGTCTCCCTGTATGGGAAGAAGTCATTACTTCTGAACTCATCCATGCCGCCTCTACCCTCTCCTTCCTTTTAAAACTTGCATCAGTCAGAACTGCAGAGGGAGAGGGATTTTTGTTGCAGTTGATCTTTTTATACCTTTGTCTTACGATGTGACGGTGAAATATTGCAGTTGTTCTCTCATCTTACTTTGTGCAGACCCTTATTTTGCCTGAATTTGGATGATAAACTTGTCAGGACATCAGACAATTCAGAGTTTGTTGAAAGCCATGAGCACGTGTGTAGTGCTGTAGCTAATAACGAATAAAATAAACTTTCAAATCCAAATCTGCAAAGCCTGCCACCTCACTTCTCTGCACAAATGTTTACGTGTTCAAAAATAGACGAGTACTCTAATTATATAATGTGGTACAAAAATTTTAAAATGCAAATCTTTATCTGATTTTCAATAACATTCCATTTCTCTGTAGATTTCTGTCAAATAATCAAGTTCCTTCTGTTGTACATATTAAATCTGAAATTAATAGAGCCATAATACACTGTGCTAATTTACTATTGAGAAGTGCAAAGTGACGTGATCTGTCATGTATTTAAATTACTCGGCATTGGTAGGATTTCCTTTAGAATTTTGTTTTTTGAAGCCAACTTTAGGAACACTAAACTTCAGTTTTTAAAGTCTTTAAGGCATGAAAGTTCAAAGCTTTTGGTGATTAACAAACATTATGAAATGCTGTAATATGAACCACAGCTTGACTGAGGCTTGCAAAGCTTGAACTTGAAAACAAAAGGAGACTTTCTAGTCTATGGTGAAATGGCTTGATAGAAGTTATGTATTTTTTATCTGAAACAGATTTTGGAAATCTGTTTTTTTCAAGAGAATAATAAATATCTCAGATTTTGTAAATGTACTGATTATTTTGGCACAAATGTGCTTCAGATGTTTGCAGTTAAACATACTTGTTTATGAATTTGAGTATATAATTAAAGAAAACCAATCACTATCAAGAATTTCATAGTTATTTCAACTAGCTGAAAAGCAAGACGTTGACTTTCAGTACCCTCTGCAAATTAACACGCCCAAGGAATTCTGTTGCTTAGACTTCTAAATGTAAAATTACATGTGCCTGAGGACTGTATCTTTATGCTTTCACCTATTCAGAATGCTTGCCTCATGATGTGCTGAATATGTCCCTCCTGAGATAAAAGGAAGGAAGAGTTATGCAGGACAGAGACCAAAATTTGGTGCATTGTGTTTTTACCTGGAAGTAAAGTAAAAACCTTGGAAGTTTTTACTTCCAAGCAAGTCTTGTTTGGAAGGAGGGTTGTGAACTTTAGTAGCCTTAGTAAAGTAGTGGTTTAAACTTCAAGTATCACGATACTTCATTTGTGTTAATCATGTGGACATACAGGATCAGATGAGGTTTGACAAAGTTTGGTATTGCAGCCAACTGCATTGATATAATTAGACGAGGTCAAACTTCCAAGAACAGATTTGCCCTTTTCCATAGCTGTGTGAAGTCAGACCAAGTACAGGAATGTGATAATTTGCCATGTAGCTTTGTTTCACAAAGGACCCGTTTCTTCTAGAAGCAGTGAGAAAAAACATCGCAGTGAAAAGAAAAAGATTCTGAGATTTCACACGGTTTTGGCTTTGAATTTCTAGTGTTATTTAGGACTGAAGCCAGCTAGTAAGCCAGCCAGCTAGTATGTGAGCCGATACCGTGTTAGTAAGAGCCAGGGTTGCAAATCGATATTGGTGAAAGCGCACCTCAGTATCTTCCATCAGGGTGAAAGGCTGTGTGTATCTTGTTGTGTGAGAGAGTGTGACACAATACAGCAGCCGACCCGTTCAGCTGAATACGTACCACTTAAATATTTAAAATTATTTTGGTGCATTAAGTGATCCTGGCTTTCTCGGCGATTGCATTTCCTCGTGGAGGCTGGTATGTGCCCTGCTTCAGGCGGAGCCTTGGGCAGCTGTGAGCTGTGTCCACCTGCGGTTACCTGGTGGGTTTGTACGGCTGTGTTCTACGAGCGATGCACATGGGGCAGTGACAGCACAGGGAAACACCGGCTGGGGACTGCTCAAATGGAAAAGTTCAAACAGACTGAAACGTGACTTTCAGGCTCTGCCAAGTAAAATGTGGGACACCTGTTGCAAGCCTTAGAAAGGAAATTTAGAGCTGATCTATATGGTGTTTCAAAACAAGCAAATTAGTCTTAGTTTGCACCTTTTGGAGCAAGACTGTGTATGTATATCAAGCCTCATATTTCAGAATAAAATACCCTCTTCCAGTTTTGTTTAAGTTATTATTATTAAGTTATATTAGGCAGTTGGAGTAAGGTCCTTTCCAGCTGAACTATTCTATTCTATTCAACTAATTGACTAAAAGATTTTTAGGAAGGCAAGTCAATTTTCAGTTTCCTACATGCCAGCGTAATCTCTGAGGCTATGTGCATGGTAGGAAACTTTCCTCCTTTTCTTCAGAAGGAGTGGGGCTGAACAAACTTCACTGCCTTGGGCTGAGCCCCGACTTCTCTACTTGGCCTACTCAACAGCATTTCTTAAATCCCGAGTCCCGCATTCCTGTGTTTTATAACATTTGTTCTCTATAACCACTGGGTAACAGAATATGCCTGCAAGAGAAAATACAGTCTGTCAGTCAGGTACACACACTAAATATATTCAATCTCAGTTTGTGTCAGGCGAAGCTAGACAAGAAGCTTTCAGTTCCTCCACCTGGATAATGTCTAAGAAAAGCGGCCCCCAGCAGCCACAGGGCTCAGGTAGTGCTCAGTCTGAAGTGACCACTAAGCAACAGGATTAGCAACAACCCCTTCAGGGCTGGAATTGTTTAGGAGCTCACTCTGATGGGCAACTTCTAAAGAGCAGGAAAGTCAGGGTGAATGTTTTAAAAAGCATCATCCTGTTTTTTCCATTTAAATGAAAGGTAGCTTTTTTTTTTTTTAATTCACTTTATTTCCTTATGCCTGCATCCTAAAAGATATCAGACCCCCAGTGGCTTCACATTTAAATTATGTGTAATCAGGTTTGTCTGTAGAACCATCAAGAAATACTAATGTGATTCTTACCTTTACCAGCAAGCAGGTTTTGTTTACTGACAGCCTTTAACATTTAAAGAACATGGGTTTTGCTGATGCATTTTGTGTATTTTTCCTAATTCTCTAATTATGTATATGTTTTCTTTTCCAACTCAGTTGAGTGACACTGTGCACATGTGCTTGAGATGCTGCAGAAATAATTTTAGTCCTGTGTGCATAGGGTATAGTTTTGCAGTCCTTGCAGAGATCACAAACCACACCATTGAAATAATCTCACTTTACTGAATTCAGAATAAGCGTCTGGTACTAAGTGGTGAATTGTGCTGTGGTGGATTTGAATTAAAATACCCTGGTTTTCATTGCAGGCATCTTTTCCACAAGTCCTGTGTAGACCCCTGGCTGCTAGACCATCGTACCTGCCCGATGTGTAAAATGAATATTCTAAAAGCTCTAGGGATCCCGGTAAGCATGTCGCAGAGCAGCCGGTCGGGTCAGAAGGGAAACAAGAGCTACATGGGTATATCCCTAGCCCTTTGCCTGTCTGTTCCCATCCTACTCTTCTTGCCATGTTATTGATTTATTAATTGATTTATTAAGGGGAGTACAAGCTGAAATGTCTGACTCTACCTCCCTCCTGCACCCCACTTTTATTAGCAAGGAAGAGTGTGTGTATGGAGGTTGCTTGGGTGTTAGGATTTGTGTGTCTGTGGTTGCCTGCTTTGTGGAGCAGAGGATTGTTTACTGGTGTTTTGGTGGATTTATCGATACTTTCACATAGCTTTTGTTTGTGTTTTAAATCAGAACTGGATTTATTTTTTTAATCATGCTCTCAGTTCAAATCTCAAAGCGGAAGGTCTGCAAATAAAATTTTCCCTGCTATACTAGTCAAGGACAACTAATTGCTCATTCTGGGGAGCCAAATCTTTTTCTGTCAGATTCCTCTTAAAGTCTATCTGTAGCAAGCTCTGTACTCCTAATTCCAATTAGGGAGCATTTCTCCCAGTAACTAAGCATGTGGTGGACCACATGACACACAAGAAATTGTTAAGCTCTTTGTTATTTGGAACATTCAGATGTTAGAAGCTGCCAAAGCAATTGATCTTTTTAGGTTGCATGTTTACATTCAGATAGTGCGTGTCCTGTCTGCCATACAGTTTCCTAACGGCAGCTATCGCAGAGATCAGGGGCTTCACCAGGAAGAAGTGAGTCACTTTCTCACACTGTGCGAGGCTTGCCACGTGATAGTGAAGTTCAGTACTGAAACACCACTGGTTGATGCGTTAACAGGTGCTGTAAATACCCTCCCCAGTTACAGATGGTGACATGCCAGCTCACATGTGAAAGAGCTATATAAAGTAAAATAGCTCATGTGAACACATTAGGGGAGCTGATGCAGCCATTCCCCAAGAGTTCATTTTCATGGAGACTAGGAAGCCTAGCAGGTTGCTGTAGAAGAGGTTCCACAGCAAGTGATGAAGTAAGTTTTTACTGAAGTAGGCAGATACATTAATCAACCTAATATAATCCAAGCTAAAAACATGCAATGGGAAAAATGAAGTAGAGCATTGTGGTTAGGGTAACATGTCATTACAGTTGGGCTACTTTTTCTGCTAAGCACGTATATTGTCTTTAGAATGTTAAAAGATGATACAACTGTTAAATCGGTATTTGAGATGTCAGGAAAGGCCGGAATGAAGGCTGGCTCTGCCATTCAGCATCTCTGCGCCTAGGCTTAAATACAGAAGTTTTTCCCCAGGTTCCATGTCTCCATTCACAGGCCTGCCAGTGAGCAGTCACCCAGGATTTTGACACCTCTTCTCTGTACCCAGTATATTGTTCCATGGCTTTCTTCTGCACCATGTAGGACCACACAACTTCTGCTCTCACACTGGTCCATTCACACTTTTGCCCAAGCATTTCATTAACATGCTCTTCATCCAGCTTCTTAATGAGGGTATATAGACAAATCAGACCTCTGCTTTTTGGAGGCCTGCGGTGAGATGTTAAGGTCTTTCCAGAAAGTTTAGTACCGTTAGTGTTTACATCCAGAATATGGCTCTCACTGACTTCACTGACAGCTGCTGAAGGCTAAGTGTGTCCGCAGGCTGTCGGAGGCTGGGTGCATTGAGGGGAAGCGAAAACATGCCCAGAGGCCATATGGAAAGGTTTTGGGTTACGTGACTGGCTTTTAATACATATGAACAGCTCTGTAGTGGCAGGTATAGAACCTAATTGCTAGGAATAATTAAAAGCGCCATTCAGTTTCCTCAGCCATCGTTTCTCTTCTCACAGCTCCCTGACTCGTTGTCTCTGTACCATGTAGCATAAGGGGGATCCATCCTGCTCCCCTCACTGAGAGCTTTCCACATGAAGCTTCTGTGGAAATAATTGTACTGGGCATGTAATTTAAGATACTGCTGTAACCAACATAAACAACTAGGTCAAGTTAAGATTTCAGAATCAGCCTTAGTGCTGGTCTGTCTTAACACTAAAATCAAGCACTTGGATGTTAGTGTTCCACTAGCAAAGTTTGTTTAGAGGATTTTATTGTATGAATTTCTGTAAAAATCGCCCTAGGTTGTTCTAAGACAACAAAGTGAAAACAGCCCGCTCCATCATTTGGAGGAAGCATACTGGCTCCCACCCGCATGGGTCATCGGTTAGGTTCATGAAGGGAGAGCTGCACACTACAGCCTTACCCCTCGAGGTGACTTACAGTAGGAGCTGTTGTCCATGGGAACTGGGAGCAGGTGGTAGCCTTCATGTCAGGGGTTCCCTCTGGCTAACAGCAAAGGAAGGGGGAGTCTAAGAGCATCTAGTAGCTTGGGGGTTAAAAATTCCTACGCTACTATTAGTTGCTCCTCTTCCTCTGTTTTCTCTGCTTTCTCTTTCTAAAATATGCCTCAAGTCCTGCTTTTCCCTCTCCTACCTCATGCCCTTTCCTGCTTCTCCTCTGCATAACCCCTCCTGCCCAACCTTTATCCTTTTGAGCTCCTGCCCTGGTGTCGCTGCTTGTGCTTTCTGCTCAGCTCACAGGACCTGTTCTCCACTCACACAGAAATTGTGCGTCCTCACCCTTCTCGCTGCCTGGCACCAGCTGAGGACAGCCCGGGGTGGGCATTGGTCCTGTGGGGTGCTTTCTGGTGCCACCGTGAGCTTGCAGGCACCATGCAAAGCCCTATTCCTATTCTCTTTGGAGAGTGTAGTTGTCGGTCCCGAATAAGCCACCAGTCTCTATCAGCACCCATGAACTGATATTTTCAGAGGCTCGTAACTTAGCCAGATGTCAGTAGGCTGTTGTGGGAAAGGACATTTCCCTGGAAGAAGCTGTAAAGCTCTAGGGCTTCTCAGTGAGAGGTGGCAAACATTTCTGTAGAGGGGATGAAGCAAAATGCCATTCCCTAACCACATTCTTGAGTCTTGCTGAGCCATCTCAGCTGAAATTTCCACACACAGAAAAGCAGCCTTAGGCAGGCAGCAGTCTCCGATGGGACACTTGAGCACAAATTTGCCAAAGTCCTTTTGCAGGCTTTTACAATGGGAGGAATGAGAAAATCTTACCATAGGCAGTGCTAATATGTTTTTTTTCCTGTCAGCTGCATGTTTGTCCTATGGTTGTTATTAAAGAGCTGGCTTGTGTGACTGTGGGTATATTGTGCTTCATTTAGCAGAAAGACTCGGGATTTTCCAGGAAATGATTGGTTAAAACCCAAATATCTAAATGCTTCAATTCAGTTCACATCTAAACTCTCCATTTACTTTGTAACAGAGCCTTCAAATATTATCTGCCCTAAAACCAGATTCCCCAGGCTGCCGTGAGGCACCAAAGTGACTGCACTCATTTTCACGGTAGCTGAGCACCCTAGCATCTCCGCTTTTCGCTGTGGCTCTCTGCAGCTCCAGAGGATTGTTAACTAACTATCTATCAGCAAACGGTTGGCATAACCTTTTCCACTGTCTCTTTGCTGGTGAATCCAGCTCAGACTATACCTCTTTTGGCTGTAACATTTGAAGCGAATTATCAGTGAAAGTGTCTTTCACTTTCAAAGAGCTACATTGCTATCGGGATGATCGTATCACATAAAATAGGTTCCCTCTGCTTCTCCCTCTTTTCTGCAAATATCTGCTGGATATGCAGACAGCTGCATTTTTGGCAGCAGATTCGATGACTTGAAGCTATTCACTAAGAGCCTTAGCCAAGCCCTCAGAAGTCAATACAAAGCCTTCCCTTGACTTTAGTGGAATTGTGCCCTCAAAGCACTTACATGCAGGGAATGAGTGAAACCAATATAATTAAACTTAGAAAATGTATCTGGGTCACTCTGACAGCAAAAGCCATAATGCACTTTTTTCGATCAGTATTTCATGTCATTAGTTTTATAGTATGCTGCTTAGTTTGGGGTATTTTTTCCAACTAAAATGATTCAGGAGTAAAGGGATTAATTATATCGAGCAATGCTATTTTTGCATCTTTAATGTTTGGTTTGGCTTTCAATTATAATCCTCCATTTTTAAAGGTTTAAAAGTTAGTGATAAAACCCCATTCTAGGAATAACTGGAATCAGAACAAAGGACAGACAACTGGTCCCCTGAAAAAATTTTGAAATAGTTTTTCCTAGAGTAGAAAAGAAAAAACAGGCCTTTTTTTTCTTTAAGATACACTGCCATCAAAGCCAAATCTAAGTTAAAAATGAAATTCTGAAAGCATTTGTTATAACAGCTAATGGAGAGGGAAAGGAAAGAGAGATAGATCTAAGGAATAATTTTGGACCCAAGTCTTACAGATAAATGACTGGTATTTCACTTAGAAAAGTACAGGTTCAATGGGTTTCATGAAAACCTGGTATAGCTGAATGTGCCTTTGTCCCAGTTCTGAGGAGCTCTCGCTGCTTGTGGATTAGACTGGAGCCAGACAACGACAATTCTAATTTTTATCCCAAACTTCAGTTTGTGGATACAAGTCACCTGAGGATTGTTTAAAATGCCTGCCTTTTTCATTAGGAACATTTGTGAAAAAATATTTATGAGGTGGCAACAATCAGACAGGGAATGTATGGGAAAAGAGAAAACATGCTAAGTTCCTGGTTCTGCAAAAAATGTAAGCATATGGTAACCTTCTATGCTTGAGTTCAAAGGGATTACTCTTGTGCTTAAAGCTAAGCCTCTGTTTAAGTCTTTGCTGTATCATATTTTGCTTAGTTTCTAGGTGCCTGCTGTTGGAGATAGGCAGGTAGTGAGATTTTCAAAAATGCCTTAGCAAGTGAGACAACTAAGCATAGCAAAAATCAGATCCACAGAGCAGAGTACATCTCCTCTGATTTTAGCCATCCAGACGTTGAATTTCCAGTCTGGCAGCTTAAGCCCCATCTCTGCTTAGTGCTGAGCAGTGGGAAGGCAGAAGGGGCAATTCATACCATTTACCTTAAGGTGAGATGAATCACACAGCGAAATTGTCTCAAACCGTTGAGGTTAGAGGAAACCTAAGTGACTGATACAGACTAGCTGTCTGACTCCTGGACAATAAAGATAAATGGGAACAACTTAACTTTACGTTTCCTAACTTAACAAGGTATCTGTGTAATTGCAGCTCAACCTTGCTATGTCCCTTGGTCATTTTGGAAGCTTTGCACCCTGACACACAGCATCCTCATTTCTGAATTAGCCTTGATTTTGTTACAGTATGTTAAAACTTCAAAACCCAGTTCTTGAAATAGTTGTGCAAACAATTTTTCTCCATGTCTTGGGGAGAACTAGATCTGGTTCTATGGGCAAATGGCAGAAGAATCTGTCTCCTCTTAGAGGAAAAAGAGCTTTTTTACTCCTGTGTTTGTCACCAATGTTTATGGGGAGCTCCATAGAAATCACTGCTGTATGAATGGGAGCATCAGGCTTGTAACAGGCCCAGAGAAATCGAGGCTAGAAACAAGTCTGACTGTTTTAAGTGCCCAGCTTGGACATAGTGTCTCTGGACAAACGATCCTCTTTGCCAGCCAGTGCCCACTTGAAGTCTCAGTGCCCTTTGTGAACAGGCGCTCAGTGCTAAGGATACTGTGGACTCCACAGCCCCCTCTCATTGCTTCCCTGTAAGGTCAATGGAAAGGCAGACACCTGGCTTGAAGAGCTTGGCTCATTCTGGAGGTGTTGGTGCGTTCACTATGTAACTGCAAGAGAGAAGTGTCTGAGTTCCCCAGACTGGGTTTCATCCTTGGTCTCTGAATCACAAAGCAAGAAAGACTATGGATCGAATAATACTCTTCAAATTGCCATTATTGCTTGTTTGTTTCTTTTCTCCTAATTTTATTTTGTAGGAAATATAGCATTAGTAAAGGAAAAGATCTTTTGATGTTGAAAAACTTCGTATAAACAGCTTTAGCTTCTATTTTTGCACCCCACACATAGATGCGCCCACAGGCAGTTCCCTTGAATTCCTATTCCTGAAAGCTCTGATATCAGCTCTATAAAATGTATATTTAGGGAAAAGATAATTATTCCCCTTCAGCTACTGTCTCTGTTTACATTTGTAATCTTACTCAGCAGTCTGCCTGTGTTGAGCAGATCATATCAATAAGTGGGTTACTTTTTCAATGTACTCTCTCCCAAAACCTTTGAAAAGTATAAATAAGAATATTTAGAGATTGTAGGTGACACAGTTTAATACTGAATATTTGCAGTGTGTACTTTGGGTCTCTCTTCCAACAAATTGCATTAAGGGGTTTTAAGTACACAAAAACAAACAAACTGTGCATGTTTATTCATCATATGTTGCCATTTTCAGTACTGAAAGAAAGTGAAAAACCCTAAAGAAGTGGGAACAGGTAAATTAAATCTTTTTATCGGGTAAAAGCTCAAATTTCTTCTTTTTCTTCCCATTAGCCAAATGCAGATTGTATGGATGATATACCTCCAGACTTGGAAGCATCCATAGGAGGACCGCCAACCAACCAGATAACGGGAGCCAGCGACGTAACAGTGAATGAGAGCTCTGTAGCCCTGGATCCCCCGGTGCGGACTGTGGGAGTACTACAAGTCATCCAAGACGTAGACTCCTTTCCCCAGATTGGGGAGGGTAACTTCACAACAAGCAGTAAGTTCCTCTTTCTGGCAGAATTTGCGCTGAAATAAATGTTTAGAAACCGGAATCACAAACCGATCTCTAGTGCGGGAAAAATGGCCTTTGAGGGCTTTTTCACTGGAGCATGGCCTTACTTTAAGCCTAGCAGAAATCTACAGGGTAAGTAAATTTAAATATCATGTCGTTCTGCTGTACTGCGAACGCTTCCAGCCTGTGTGCAAATCAGTGTGTTGAATAGCAAGCTCTAATTGGAGTCCCCTGCATGGACAGAACAAGCTATTTCAGTCAACGCAAAACAATATAAACTTATGGTCGTGTTTATAGTAAGTCATCCCATTCACCGTGATAACTTGCCATGTATCACCTGGCTTCTTTGTGAAGCAGATTGGTGCATGTCCTTTGGCCTGCCTTTCCTCACTGGGCTACATGTTACCTTGTGGAAGTTATTCTTACCTGCGTATCATAAAATAAATAGAGAACAATAAACAGCAATCACTTTCACTGCCTTCGGTCAAGAAAAAAAGAATGTTGAATTCTGGTTTTGCCTTTCCTTTATCTTCTTACATCAACTGAAGCTCATCTGGTTATTTATTCATACTTGAACTTCTCATTTCAGAAGGATTGATGGTCAGTGTTCCTGTACTTGAAAACCTGAGCTTAGTGAAATAATGCTGCCAATTTGTACAAAAAAAAGACAATTTTGGATGTTTTCAATGTATTTAGTTTTCACTTGTTTAAGGGGCACCATTTGAACCAGTAACTCTCAAAATGTCTGCATGGCTCTCTGTTCCTAAAAATTATGTTCTTTGATGAAAATCTACTTCTAACAGTTTAAAAATAATGTTGTCAGCTGTTTTGAGTGAGGATTGTACTAGCCTAAAATTCTCATTTTTACGTAAAATAGCAGATTTTATATATATATATAGTTGGTATATTAGTATTGACAAGACTATTGTAGAAAATCATCAGATATACTTGAAGGGAGGTAGAAAAATGTGATAAAATACAGGTTTGTGTATGGAGTCAGCATAGGTCCTGGAACAAATTATGCATTTTCAACCATTTCTAGTTACTGCTATGGGCCTGGGCATGAAAAAGAAGGCAAGTAATAATATGATGTGTAAAAGGTAGGAGAAAGATGAGGGGACTAAGTTGAAATGATTTTACATTAGTCTCCTTACTCGGTGTAGAGACTTGATAATCACATTTTCCCTCATATTGCAGCCAGTGTCATGGCAGTGAAAATAACTTCTGGAAACGCTGAACTTGGGACCTCAGCCACAAGTGACCCAGAAGTGGATTTTTAAGTTCTGCCTTTGTGGATTAGGTACTGGTTTCAGGTTTGGTCCTTTTATGGTCTGAGTCCCAGATGAAGCAAGGGGTGAGCAGCAAGGTTATAGGCCCAGCTGTCATCCATGGCCAGCCTGTCAGCTGGTGGCATACAACTTTCTCAAGCCTCCTTGAGTGCTGGCAAGAGCTGTTCAAAACAAGATGTTATTTTGTTCCTTCCAGTAATTGTTTTTAAATACATTTGAGGCTGATTTAAACCATGAAGGAAAGATTTACTTCATGGTACCACAATGTAACTAAAGACTGGGCTAGATGCTGGTCTCAGCTGTACCCTCTTAACACTCCTGAAGTGAGCAGCTCCTCTGGCAGATAATTATCCTTGTCCCGCTGTTCTTTACAAGGTCTGCTACTGAAGTTGGGAAGGAGGGCTGTGGTGTGCCCTTTACACCCACAGCTGCATGGCACATGCTGAGAAGAGCTGGCAGCCTGGTGCAAAGCCCAGCACTAGGGGTAGTCCGTGCTTTTCATCCCAGGATCTTGGCATACCGAGAAGCAGTTCTGGTTTGTCGTCAGGGGTAACAATGGTGTTGAGGCAGCCAGGGAGCACAAGAGCTCAGTAACTCTCCAGCCACTCTCTTCCCCTCCAGTTTTGTTTCCAGAGTCTGCGGAAGGATTAGTGTCAGTCCAAACACATATGTTCTTCATTTTCCAAGTTGCCAGCTAAGTCACTGGGTGAAAAACTTGCTCTGAGCCAGCAGAGTACTGCAGGGCCTGCAGAGATGCTTTATTTTGCCTTGGTGCCCTCTGTTCTTCCCCTTACCTTTAATAACATGGGGCAATAGACACTAACAGTGGGCAATCCTGAGGCCTGACAGCAGAGCCCATGGACAAGGAACTCACACCAAGACCAGTGGTCTCTCCAGACACGCATGTAATGAGGCAGCAAACCACGGAGCTTCAGGAGATCTCCATCACCTGAAAAGGCTGGCCATGAGGTCTGGGGAAGGACTGTGAAAAGGGTTTTTCCCTGGTTATTTGAGAGAGAGAGGGAGAAGAGAGCAGGGAGGGGAAACTGGCACATGGCCTGAACTCTGTGAAGGTTGTGAGCTTTGCACCATTACGGGGCTGCCTGGGGACCCACTGCTAAAAACAGACCTTTCCAGTTGTTTTGTGAGGAGAAAGGAGTCCTGAGAAAAGCTCAGAGGACCTTGGGAGCTTCCAAACCCTGGTGTGTGCCTGCCTACGCTGTGCCTGTCACACAGTCACTCAGGGAACTCTGGTTTAATGCTTGGTTAGCTATTGTCACTCACCCATCATTGATATGTAGACATGAATCTTCATCTGGATTTCTCATCTCAAAGTGGAATACAATACTTGAATATTAGTCAGCAGTAGGTGTGCAAGTTTCGATGCTGTCATCACCACATCCAAAGTGGTGCAATTTGCAGTAGTTCCCAGAAACAGAGCTGTTTGGTCCCTTTTTGCAGCAGAGCTGCAGCAAAGAAGAGGTCTTTGGTTGGGAGTTAGGGGCTGAGTTCCAGCAGTGATGGGAATTTGTCCCTCCAGGTGCCTTATGTGGATTTGGGGTGTTCAGGCACTCTGAAAGGTAGCACTTAGCATCTTAGGCAGCCTGAACTCTTAAGTCAGTGAAAGGGGAACATCCAGGACCACTATATAGTTGTGGTATGAAATCAAATGCTAACTAAATCAGAGGGCAACTGTAGGCTAAATAACTGGGTCATAGCTGTCATATAGATGGGGCTTTATAGGCATTGTGTCTGTTTATTATATTCAGGCATTGTATTTCTCATTTCCAGAATCCTCATAGTTACACAACTGCAGAGCTTGCTGAGCGTGCCCTTTCTGTGAACTAGCCTGCCTGGGAATTTGTAAGCAATGACGCTGATTGCCCCTAGGAATCTTTGCTGAAGTTGCTACGTTCTGGCCTCTTTATATAGCATTAGTGACGGGAGCACACTCCAAGGCTGAATCTGTGCTAGAAGTTTTTCTTCCTCTTGTTATTGAATCTGTGCAGACTGTCTCCAGTGCAGTCTTGACGTGGCACCCTGTACCCAGCACCGTGAGTCCTTGCATCCCTCCTTATTCCTGGCAAAGTTCAGTGGTCCAGGAGGTAAAGGACTTGCCGCCTTCTTTCCACCCACTTCTGCAATACTTTTGCTTAATTGTTGTTGCATCCTTTTTGTTTGTTGATTAATCATTTTGATATTGTTGTCTTGTTTTGGGTTTAATCTCCTTTTCTGTGTTTCCAGTGAGTATTCAGAGCCAGAAGAGCTCCCACAGTGTGTCTGGAGGGGAGGATATTTCCAGAGTACTGTTCACATCGGGTGAAATTCTGTCTCCATTGAAATCTGGTGGCAAAGCTCCCACCTACTTCAGTGGGGCCAGATTTTCATTTCTGGAACTCGGCCAGTGCTTTTCTTTTTATTTCTGTGTGTGTGTGCTCAACAGACATTTCCTCTTCTCTCCCTCCTTTTTTCTTCCCGTGCTCCTGAATAGATAATGTCTTCCATGGGACCCTTGGCGATGTAGTGTACTATGAACATCTGGATGGGACTTCATTTGGGGCCCCATCCCTAGGGTTCCTTGCTAAACCAAGCATCTCCTGTGTAGTAGCACTGAGCACTTAAAAATGGACCAGCAGCTTCTCTCAGCTGGCTTCTACCAAGATCCAAGCCTTCATCAAGTCCCTTGGGCGTATCTACAGCCCAAAGTCTGTTCAGTATTTAGTCTTAGTGACTGTTTGCTCTCTCTGGTGGGATTTTGTGCAGGATCCTGGGATAGTATCTTGTAATGTGGTATTTTTGTAATCAGTTGCTGAAAATGGATGGATGGAAAAATTTAAAAACTGGAGTTGGAAAAAAAAAAAGGGGGGGGAAGGGTAAAAAAATTGTGTGAAATACATAAGAGTTCATCTCAGCTGAGTTTCCTGCTTTGACCCTATTACTTTTCAGCTCTCCAGAGGGTATGAAAGAAGATAAGCTAAGGATCTTTTTCCACAATAATGCATCATAAGCAATCTGTGTTGCCTAATTTTCAGTAGTGAGTTATGCAAAATGCTAACATCTTTGGAAATTTCAGCGCAGGTGGAATTTCCTGCTCTACAGATGATGTGAGTGTGAGCTGGACTTGGCTAAGATCTGAACTTGAAGAAGCTCTGAACTGCACCAGCTTTGGAGGAGTGGAAGGTGGTTTTGGAATTTGAGGAGGACATTGCAATATTCTTTGGGTCAGGCTCAGCTGGGATTGAATGATATGGTTAAAAAAGGTAGTTTGCTGGGAAAGTAGCATCTAGATATTTTAGAGGTTGTGTGGTGACGGTGACACTTGCAGGGGAAAAAGTAGTTAACAATTTTTTTCATCTTTTATAGCATCCATAGTCGTTCACCACCCTCAACCCATGTGGCACTTGCTAATTTCTGCAGTAGATAACGTGCACTGCCGGAGTCTTTGCTCTCTGTTGGTAAATACCTCTAGTTTTTCAATTTAGACAAGCTTTTATATTCTCTTCAGCGGGATGTCTCATCACACTGCATAAAGCCTCAGAAATCCCACCAGCACTGTCTCTGTAGTTGGAGGAAGATCCATAAATAATTATACTGCAAACGTGGGCAGAAATTTTAGCATGAAAAACCACAAACTCTCCCCGAAGGTGTCATATACCTGCAAAGCCCACCAAGTTCGATGGGCTGTACAGCAGTGGG